GGAGCTTTGGGGCTAAGAACATTGTCAAACTTTAAGACTCTAAATGCTCTATTTGGTCACCATGAGCATTCCTGAAGTGAAAAGTTAGAAAATACATAGATTCTGAGACAGAGTGGAGCAGAGGACTCTGGTGTTGCAGCGGGGACAGAGGCCTCCACCAGTGCCCTGCCTGTTCTGAGAAGGGTGGAGTCGTCAGGGCCAAGATGCCAAAGTTAGCTGCTGCACAGGAAACCTGTATCAGATCCTTCAGGTTTCCTCTTTATGGCTAGAAAAATTGGGCCACAGATTCTGGTGGAGGGGGCCTGGCACCCTGTAAGGAAGTCCCAGCTTCCAGAGAGGAACAGATGGACAAGTACTCCAAGAGCACCTGTGCCTCAGGGCTGGGAATGATCAGGGCTTCTAAGCACCATTTGGTCCTTTATATGCTGAATGAAGCAATGTAAAATGCATGTGATAAGAGACAGAAGAGTAGAATTAAAAATATAAATAGTAAAAAAAAAAGAACCCATATGTATCCCAAACTAAACCAAATGCAGCAGCAGCATGCCGCGTTCAGTCAGAAATGAGGTATCTTTCACTGAATTTAACATAGATTACAGTAAAACCTTGGATTATGAGTAATTTGTTCTGTGAGTATTCCACAAGATGAGTAGACATTTCTAATAAATTTTAACTTGATAAATAAATGGTATCTTGCAATATGAGCACTATGTGACACCAAATATCACATGATCACAACTAAGCCAATGGTTCTTCTGTCTCTGTGTCTCCATCTCTATGTCTGTTTGTCTTTTGCTGCAGGATTGTGGGTTATCATCTCCTAACTGAAAGAGGCTATGGAAGAGATTTCTTCTGAAGAGGAAGAGGAGGAGGAGGAGGAGGAGGAGGAGGAGGAGAAAAAGTCAGAGGAATTCCTCACTTCAAATGAGATTAGAGAGAAGTGTAAGGTGTGGCCAACAGTGCAAAATTTCACAGAAAATCACCACTCAAATAAGGCTGTAGCAGTGTGAGACTGTTCAAGGACAACACAATGTCATATTTCTGCAAAATCCTCACAAGGATGCAAAAGCAAGCATCACTGGGTGGTTCCTTGCTAAAGCTACACAAGAAGAAAAGGATTCCACTGGGCCAGTGGACAGTAGTGATTCCACAATGAAAGTTGTCCTACAGTCACTCTCCTCTCCTGTCTCCCTCACACCAGCCACAAAGGCTTTCAAAAGGAGTATTTATTTTTCTGCATATTTTGTATATTATTTTTATTTTGTATTACAGTACTGTGATCATTTTATATGAACATTTTTGGGTTGTAGAATGAATCATAGGAGTTTTCACTACTTCTTATGGGAAAATTCCCTTTGATAAACTGTACAAGTGCTATGGATTACAAACATGTTTCTGGAACAAGTTATTCTCCCAAACAAGGTTTTACTGCAGAATATATGAGCTTTGCAGATGTGTTTCCTTTTTGCATCCTATTTTAAACTCCAAAGACACTGAATCAACACACCTATGAAGCTTTCATCTTTTGCTTTAGTGCCTCTTGGGAAAGTCTTTATCTAGATGTAGGGAAGTGCCAATTATTTTCTTTCTCATAGATAAAACACTGGAAAAGTTAAATCTGGAAGAAGAGTACAGTGTGCAAGGCAGCTACAAACACACTCAGCCACCTTATCTTGACAAAGGGGCCAAACATGCTCACTGGAAGAAAGATAGTTAACAAATGGTGTTGAAGAAAGTAGCTTTTCCCATGCTGAAAACTAAAAACTAAATCCAGGTCTATCACCATGCACTAAACTAAAGTCTAAATGGATTAAAGATCTAAACATTAAAACAGAAACACTAAATCTACTGGAAGAGATAGTAGGAGGAAATCTTGAAGACATATGGGTAAGCAGAGAGTTCATGAACAAAAATCAAACTGCATGGGAAATACTTCAAAGAATCAACAACTGAGATCTTATCTTATTGAGAAGTTTGTGCATATCAAAAGAAATCACAAAAAAGTGAAAAGACAACCCATAAATTGGGAAAAATCTTAAACAACAGTCACTCAGATAAAGGGACTTCTATGTAGAATATATAAAGAACTAAAAAGAAAATAAGCCTCCTAAAATTCAAACACCCAATACATAACTGGGTATCTGAGATGAATATACACTTTTCAGAGGAAGAAATACAAATGGAAAATAAATACATTAAAAAACGTTCCATAGCACTGTTCATTTGAGAAATGAAAATTAAAACAATACTGAGACTCCATCTCAACCCAAAAACAATGGCTATCATAAAGAAATCAACTAATAACAAATGCTGGAGAGGCTGTGGGGAAAAGGAAATGTTCTCTACTGTTGGTGGGAATGCAGACTGGTACAACCACTAGGGCAAGCAGTGTAGAGATTCCTCAAAAAGCTAAGATTGGAAGTCCCACTGAACCCAGCTAGTTCCTTTCTGGGTGTTTTTCCAAAAGAACTGAAAACACTATACCACAATGATATATGTGCACCCATGTTTAGAGCAGCACAATTTGTCATAGCTAAATCTTGGAAATAATCCAAATGCCCATCACCTGATGAATGGATAAGAATGATACAGTATTTTTATATAATGGAGTATTACTCAGCCATAAAGAAAGATAAACTGGAGGCTTTTGTAGGTAAATGGATGCAACTAGAGTCTATATTCATAACTGGAATAAATCAGACTCACATGTGTATACATCATATTGTCTCCTAGTGTAAGAACCTGAAAGAATAAATACAATCTGAAAGGTACAATAGATACAATAAAATGAAAAGAAACTGAACATGGGGAATAAACAACTGATATGAGGGAAAGGAAAAAAGGAAAAAAATGGAAAGGGAAAAATCATGTAAGTATATACACAGGATAGCTAAGAGGATTGCACTACTAATTTCTATCAGTTTTTTTGTGGGGTAACAGTTAATGTTTAAAATTTTTACTTTGACCAATTTTATATGCTAATATCTGTAATCTGAGCAACTACACTGAGGATAACAGTGTGCAATATAACAACCACAGTTGAATACCTTTCATCTTGTCCTTTAAAATACGCATCAAAAATAAAATAAAATAAAAATAAAAAAAATACGCATCATTTCTAATATCTTATCTATTATTTTATACTCTCTGCAAAATAAATTTTAAAAAATAAAAAAGACAAGGAAAAAATTAAGGTTTATGGAAAGGAAGAATTAATGTTTAATTTTAATTGCTTTATCAATCTTGCAGGACTACATCTGGTAATCTGAGCAACAAATTTGATGACAACAATATATAATATAATAACCACTGTTAATTTTTCTATTCTTGTTTTGAAATTCTGTGCCATTTTTACTGTTTTATGTTGCTCTGTTTTTGTCTTTGTTCTTGTTATTTGTTTTAGTTTTTCCCCTTCCTTAAAATACAATTTTAAAAAATAAAATGTGCGAGGGATAGGAATTCTGAAAAAAGATATCTGGCTGTCCTTGTGGACTTGGAAATTAAAATGGGAGAGAACAAAAGAATATGGTTGTAAGCATGAGCTCTGTCCAAACAAAAGTGAAAGTGCTGTCCATACATATATATGTCGGAAGGAATATCTGTGCTTATTCAGTTATGACCATTGAGCTATTTCTACCTGTGGAAAAAATATAATGTTCTTGATAAAAGAGATAAATTTTTTGGATAAAAAGCATGTATCTCAAGATCCTGAAATGGTATTGTACAGTTAGACAGTAAGTAAAGAATAGCCGGAGATGATTAAAAAATAACTTATATACCTCATTTCTGCCACTTATAACTTTTTTCTTTCATATCTAGTGATATAGATTTTATATTAATTTGTGTAAATTAATATGCTTACTATTTTTCTTTGGAATATGATGTAGCAACTCATAAATTTTTAGGAAAATTGCATTATACTTTGTGTTAAGCCTATACTAGCAGATCACTTCAAAAATCAAAGAAAATCATGAACATATTAAAAGATTTTCCATTAAGTTTCTGAAAAAAATAAGAAAAGAGTAAAAGAAAATAATTTTAGACATGATCTCAGAAGTATATTTGGTTTAAGTACCACCTAAAATCTTTGTTTTTGTTTTCAAATAATTTTATTGAGAAATAAATAGCAATGAGACAGTTTAACAACCAATTAGTGGCACTTTTTCAATAATTAATACACTGCACATTGTTGTCTTAGTGATTATTCATTGTACAAGATGCAGACATGATATCCTGTCTCAAACACTATTAGAACAAACCTCTCTATTCATTGAATTAAGAGAATGGAGCTGTATATCTATGCTAACTATTTTGAGTATACCGATACAAAATAGTCGTTCATTTCAATTCCACTTTTTTGGTTAGTTTTGTCAGAGAAGGGCATTCCATTGTCATTTAAATACTGTAAGTGCATAAATTCAGCAAAATATCCCAATATGGTCCAGTAGCCCATAATAGTAGTGGGTTTTCTAATGTCCGAAGTTATTGACTTGAGCCTTTTACAGCTCAGCATACTAATATGGCTTTACTTTTTATACTTCATTTTCATACTTTTCTGCTGGATGGTTAAGACCAGGATAAAGCAAGACCTATATAACAAGAAATGTAACTTTCGTATCTGACAAGGTCAGTCAAATCTCCTCAGGATTTAACCTGAAACCCTGTAACACAGTTTGTAGAACCTTTGTCAGTGTCAGCCATGTGGATGAGTCATGGCCATTGCTTGACCAATTTGCTCTCTGTGAAAGGCTGAGAGAATGTTTTCTCTCCATGTGAATCTCCTTAGGCACACTCTACATCATCGTTCATTTTCCTCTGTGGTACCACAATCTCCTTGATCAGAAAATTTGGGACACAACTGAGTTACATGATGTTACAGTATAAATTCTCCTATGTGTTGAGTCTTCACTGACCACCTAAAATCTTTGTAAAGGAAGATTAGCAACAAACTATAAAAAGTGAAACTTTTTTATTAGTATATTATGATTTGTGGCACTTACTCTCAAAATCCAGGAAAAAGTGTGGATAGTTTTCAATTTCCCTGGTCAGGACTTTGAGCAGGTTTCCCATCCCAGCAAACCTAAGAAAGACATCACAAAAGCATAAATAAATAGCATTAGAAATGGAAATGCAAGTGCTGGGGAGATAGCTCAGCAGTCTAAGTGCCTGCCTGACAAGCACAAAGACCCGGGTTCGCTCCCTGGTACTGCATGCCATGCAGGCCCCACACCAAGCCAGCCACTGAAACTAGGCGTAGTGGCGCATGCCTGTAATCTTAGAACTGGGAAGGTTGAGACAGGAGGATCTGAGCTGCTAGTGAGACCCTGTACTAAATAAATAAATAAATAAATAGAAAAAGAAATAGAATAGAAATGCTAGACTCTTCAGGATCATCCCAGGCCTTTTTCTGCTGCTGTGAAGGCCAGAAAGATGGCATCTCTATCTCAGTGATGACCTAGCATTCTCATTCCTGGACTGCTGGCCCGTAAATATCTTGGAGGTGATGGTTGTCTAAAACTTGGGGCTATCTGGTATAAGCCACACCAAGAAGGACAGGAGTGAAAGCATCATGAGTAGTCCCTAGAGAATACAATCGCATGCAGTATCTCACCATGATTAGAAAAATTGATCAATGATTATTATTATACCAAAATAATCAGATATTTTAGTTATAGAAAACACACTTTTAGTATGCTCTCGATAGGGAATTTGTATTTTGCAAAGTGAAGGATCCCTTCGCTAATCGTTGGAATTCTTACAGTTAGTATTTCAGTTTTGCTTTGTTTCCTGCCCATCAAAGAAGGCATTACTGAATATCTGTTCAGAAAAGTAACTTTCTGAAAGTTCATGAGAAAAAGAGTTTGAAAGCCCAGATTTAGGGTCTCAGGGTCTCTCCTATTATGTGTAGGAGACAAGATTCCCTAGAAAGTGGTTGCTGGGCAAGCTGGAGACTTTTGTCACTCAAAATTTCAGTGCTAAACAGGTTGGGAGCTTCTTGAAGTATAAAAATGAAAAGGCTCAATATCAAAACAGTCATTTTCCATGAAACAACATGCTAAGATATTTATAAAGCTGAGTCAAATCAAGAGAAATACAAATCTTTACATGTCTGCAATCCTCTTCTAAAAAGCAAACAAGTAAACTGTAGTTACTTTTAAGTAAAAACCACAATTTCTACTGCTTCCGGAACGAGCCAGTGCACTACTGGGGATGCCACATTCTGCATCCCACATTCCTCCAACATATGTCTACAAGACCCCAGACAGCAGCCCTGCTGGGGGGAAGCCTGCATCTCCCTGCCCCTGCTATGCGTGAACTCAGATACCAGACTGTAAAGACTCCTTTACAAGTCATGGGACTAGAACTGCGCTGAGCCATGGTTTTCTATACCTGTTGGTTCTGACACACTAATATTCAAAGAACGAACTTTTTAAAGGCATCATTTCGAGGAAGATACAGTAAGAGAAGAATACGCTAAAATAATGGGGCTGCGCAAAGCAATGGCCGTGACTCATCCACATGGATGACATTGATAAAGGATCTGCACACTGTGGTACAGGTTTACAGGATAAATCCTGAGGGGATATGACTGACTTTACCAGATACAAAAGTTATATTTCTTGTTATACAGGTCTTACTTTACCTTGGTCTTAACCAACCAGCAGTAAAGTATAAAAATGAGGTATAAAAAGTAAAGCCATATTAATATGCTGATCTGTGAAAGGCTCAAGTCCACAACTTCTGACATTGCCAGTCCTATGGATAACTCACTACTATTATGCACTACTGGACTATATTGGATTATTTAGCTGAATTTACGCACCTACAATATTTAAATGGCAATGGAATACCCACACAAAGCTAAACAAAAAAAGGGGATACAAATGAAGGACCATTTTGTATCTGTATATACAAAATAGTTAGGATGATAGACATACAGCTACTTTGCTTAATTCAATAAGAAGAAAGATTTGTACTAATAGTATTTGGACGGGATATCCTGTCTGCCTCTTGTACTATGAATAACCACTAAGAAGATAACAGTATACAATGCATTAATTATTGAAACTCCTATTAATTGGTTTTGAAACTGTCTCATTGCTGTTTCTCAATAAAATTAATAAAAAAAATTATGGGGCTGCGAAGTATATGACATACTTGTGACAGTCCTCCAGGGAGAAGACCCTCACACATGCGCAGACATGGTCATGGCAGAACACCCCGATTCAGGGTGGAAAGAGATGTTTCTATCTGCACCACAGTGAAGGAACCCAACCCCAGTTCTGCTTCTTGCTACTTTCAGGGCCCTGCCAGCTGCAGGATTCTGTCTTCTCACTTAAGTATGAATTCTCAGTATGTATGACAAGCATAGCAAGAATTGGTACTTGCTCTTGCTAAGGACCACAAAAGTTGCTGTTACTTATGGTGTTTCTACAGAAGACGGATGTGAGAGACTGTATGCTGCTCCAGAGAGGGGTGGTAAGACCACTGGGAAGTTAATGAGGAAGATCTTTGTCTGATGTGGTGAAAATGTTTCTAACCTTTATAGTTGCTGAAAGTTGAGTAATTTCCCTTTGAAATAGGGAGCTTTCTCACACCAGTGATGTTTAAGTGGCATCCCTTACTGATGAGGTTGAAATGACTTATGTGTCAGGCAGGAAGGCAGGCCAGAGATTTCTTAGACTTCTCCTGCCTTGCAGTGGATAAGTATGTGAGCATGAACATTGTGTGTAGACACACATCCATACACGCAAACATACCTGTATGCACACACACGTGCACCCACATGCACACACATGCACATGAACATATATACACACCCTCGTACATGTATACACACATGCACTCATACATACTCACATGCACCTGAACACACACATGCACCTGAACACACACACACACATACACTTCTACACACATATGCACCTGTATGCACATACACATATACCTGAACACACATACATGCACTCATACACACATACACACATGCACTCATATGCACACAGACATGCACCCATATGTACACACACATGCACTTGTACATGCACACACATGCACTCCTCTGGACAAACTCACATGTATTCATACACACATACACACATGTACTCATAAGCACACATACACTCATACACACACACATGCACCCCTATGTGCATACACACATATATCTGGACACACACATATATGTGTACTCACACATGCACACACATATACCCATATACGCATGCAAACATACACACATCCAAAGGCGCACACACACATGCACCTGTATGCACACACATGCATGAACACAAGGCAAATACTGTATTTTTCTCTTCCAAAACAATTTTCCCTCAGCCTTCTGACATTCCTTTCTTTGTCCTCTGCCTTTATGCATATTTCCTTTTAAGATATTTTTCAGCCAAGTCCATGAATGAAGTAGGTTTTGCCAAATTTAAAGCTTGGAACTGGCATCGTGCAGTCCTTCCTGAGGCAGTGTTGTAAACTCTCTTCCTTGTGGTGGAGTTTCCAGTTTTATGAGAAATTCTATATCAGATCTGGAGGTAGTTTTTGTAGGAAGATGACTCAATGTTCAGAAGCAGACCTGGTATTTATATGTAATGCAGTCAAATAGACTTAATTTCTCTATTTTTGTGTTATGAGCTAACTTTTGAGTATGGACTTAACTTTCTCCTAAAATTCTGTCTTGTGTGTGATTTTACTGGCAGAGTATCTGGGTGGGAAGTATGTAAAGCCTTTGAAATCTCTAACAGGCTGGAAAAAATGTAGAAATACAAGCAAATGTTAGTAGCGCTCTACCTCTTCCCCAGGTATGACTAGGCTGAGTGACATCTCAAATACTTTGGAAGATGATTCTAACATTAACCATGGTCAGTTATGTGAAACTTCCATAATACTAGAGGGGTTACCCCTAACGTGGATGTCGTGTCTGCCCAGTGATGGAGGCATTATGCACTATGAAGGGTGAAGTGTAATTTTATGGGACCTAGAAACGTGTGTTTCAAAGTTGACATGAGATTGTCACAGAGACCCATCATTCATCTCCTCCATGGAGTCCCCCACAGTGATGAGAAATCATAGGAGTACCTGTTTTTATGAGGTCTGAAATTAAATAGGTGCATCGCAGAGAGGGGCAAAGCAGGGAGAACACGTCTATTTTGAGCTTGGCCCAGGGACCCACGTAGAAAGGCCGCTTGCCTCCAATCTCTGGGCTGCACACTCTTCAGTCTCCAAGTGGGTACAAAGCACTCTGCTTTTGGTACTAGTAAGATGGCTTAGTTAATGATGGAGAATATTTTAGAGGATATTTTATCTCCTGCAGATGATTCAAGTTTAGCCTTCTTTATGACAGAGTAGTGCTCCATCATGTGTAATCATATTTTCCGTATCCAGGCACGTGCTGATGCACCAACAGCCTGTGTGAAAGCACAATGCTAAGTGGAATAAATCAGATACACAAGCTTAAATATCCCATGTTTTTTCTCAAATGAGAAACTGAAATTACCAATAACAAGCAAAACAGAAGTCAGATAACAGGAAGGAAGGAAATGGATCTTTAGAGCAGGGAGGGGGAATGAGAGATGGGAAAGGGGAAAGGAGGGGCCAGGCTGTGCGCGTGCACACACCAGCTCCACGAGGCAGTAGGCACGCACTGCAAGCAAGCACAAAGAAAAACTTTAAAAAAGGTATTTTATTTTACCAAACAAAAGAATTTTGGATAATTTATACACTGTTGGAGAATACAAATACTAGTGTAATGAAAGTGGGGAAGACAATAATAAAACAAAGGAGAAAAGAATGTTTTGTTTTAGACTTAGCATTTGGGAAATTAAAAAAAAAACCAACAACACAGGTTTCATGACCATGCCCTGGGAGGAGTGGAAAGCCACACGGGGAGCTGCCCCAGCCCCGTGGGCACAGCTGTGTCCCGCAGGGTCGCAGAGGAGCCAGGAGCTCTGGCTTCCACACCCAGCTTGGGTTTCACTGTCAGCTTCTCCTGTGGCCTGCTCTGCATTCTGTAGGGTGTCCATGCTCTGTGCTTCCCAGACTATGCAGCAGCCTGCAGGAGCTGGAGCCACT